GAAGGAAGGAAGGAAGGAAGGAAGGAAGGAAGGAAGGAAGGAAGGAAGGAGAGAGAAGGGGAAGGCAGGCTCGGCATAGTGGGCACCCACCTGGGCGCCGATTCGCAACGCCCCCCTTCCCCGTGGCTTAAGACAAAGAAAGTGCAGAAATGCGGCGGAGGCAATTGGCAGCCAGATGTGCATCTTCGGCTCTTAAAAATCCATCGCACGGGAGGAGGCGGGGGGGGGGGGAGAGAGAGAAACGGGACGCTCCACCCAGCTCGCGGGCTGCTATTGTTGTTATTCGGCTCGTGGGCACGCAGGGGTGTTCCCCTCGCGAGCGAACAGGGTTTGAACCGCGGGGCTCAAGAGGGCAATCCGCATTATATCCCCGTGGGGGTCCCTGCGAAGGAGTTGGGGGGCCACTTCTACTTAAAGTGCGGGGGGAGGAGGCACACTCACTCTTTCCGCATTTTGTTTGCTCGGGTTTTTTGGGGGGGGGGTTGTTAACGTGTGCTGAGCTCGGGACTCTTCGCGGACCGGTTTTGCGGGTCTCCGCTGGCTCGGCGTTGCTGGGCAAGAGATTGAACCGGGAGGGGGGCTTTCGGGGGTGGGGGTTGCCTTGTTGGTGATTTTTCTTAAATCTCCCCCCCCCTCCAGCGCCCGTTGGTGGCCAATGGGAATTAGCGGCAGCGGCCAGGCGGAGAGAGGGGCGTGTGTATCTGGAGCTGATTCCCCCCCCCCTCGTTGTTGGTGCTCCTGTGTCACTCGGGGTGGGGGCAATCGGAGGGACAATAGCTTGGCCGGGTGACAGGTTGCATCGCCGTCCCTCTCCGCGCTTTGCCCTCCGCTCTCCCCCCCCCCCCGAGAGATGATGGAGGTGTAACCGGCTCTTGTCTCCCCTCCCCTTTTCCAACTCCGTCCTCCCCCTCCTCTTCCTCCTCCTCCTCCGCCATCCGCTCCAGGTTGTAAAATCAAAGCGTTGCGGGCCAAAACCAACACCTACATCAAGACGCCGGTGCGGGGCGAGGAGCCGCTCTTCGTGGTGACGGGCAGGAAGGAAGATGTGGCCATGGCCCGGCGGGAGATCATCTCGGCGGCCGAACACTTCTCCATGATCCGCGCCTCCCGCAACAAAAACACCGTCTTGAACGGCTCGGTGCCCAGCCCGCCTAATCTGCCAGGCCAGACCACCATCCAAGTCCGGGTGCCTTACCGAGTGGTGGGCTTGGTGGTGGGACCCAAAGGCGCGACCATCAAGCGCATCCAGCAGCAAACCCACACCTACATCGTCACGCCCAGCCGGGACAAGGAGCCGGTCTTCGAAGTGACGGGCATGCCGGAGAACGTNCCCCCCGACCCTCCCGGCTGGCCAGGAGGAAGGGGGGAAAAAAGCTTGGGGGGAGGGAAATCGCACGGGGGGTGGCGATGTTTTTTTTTCCCCTTGGAAAGCGTCTTATAAACCGGATTGCATTTGGGGGAAAAAAGAAAGAAAAGGAAAACAGGCGGCGATATTTTTAAGGCACAAGGAAAGTACAGCCGGGGAGGGGGAAGAAAAGAAAAGGAAGGAAGGAAGAAAAAACCTCCGGAGATTTCGAGGGAGGCTGCTTTGCGAGCTTCAACCAGCGTCCAGGATTTGCAAGCGCTCCGCGCGCCGCCGCCGGTTCCTTTTCTCCGCTGTTGAACTGGCCATCTGCCGCCTTCTCCGCTTCCTTTGTGTCTGATTTTTTTAGGGGGGGGGCTTGCTTCTTTTCCTCCCTTCCTCCTCCCCCCCCCGCGCCCCCGCTTCGCCGGTTCGAGAGCCGAAGGGAAAGGAGGAGGAGGAGGAGGGCGCGATCCCATACATTCTCACCGGGACGATGCCCAGTTCGTTGTTTGCGGACATGGAGCGGCATGGGAGCGGCGGCGGCGGCGGCGGAGGAGGAGGAGGCGAGACCCTGGATGACCAAAGAGCTCTCCAGATTGCCTTGGATCAACTCTCCCTCCTCGGCTTGGACAGCGACGAGACGGGCTCCCTTTACGAGAACGAGCCGCGCAAAAAGAGCGTGAACATGACCGAATGCGTCCCCGTTCCCAGCTCGGAACACGTCGCCGAGATCGTGGGCAGGCAAGGTGGGCTGTGCTGATTGCTTTCTTTATTGGGGTTGGGGGGCGGGAGGGGGTCGGTCCGCGCATCCGTGGTGTGTGTGTGTGTGTGTGTGTGTGACAGAGAGAGAGTTTAACTGCAAGTCTTACACCGCCACCCGCCTCTTCCCAGGTGGTTGGTTTGGCCAAGGTGGGTTTGAGTGGAGAGCTTTTCCCCGTGGCAGGCAGGGAAGGAAGGAAGGAGAGAAGGAAGGAAGGAAGGAAGGAAGGAAGGAAG